ATTTCTGGCATACTGGAAGAGACAATTAGCATAAGTAAATCAGGAGTGAGATGACAGTTGCTTAACATTTGTTTCTGTTCACCAGATGAGATCTGAGGTCACTGTTAAGCCTCTGTTTGAGTAGGGATGGGGAGAGCAGGGCGTACAGAATGAGTGGTTGTTAACTTCAGTTTCAGCAAATATAATCAGAACCAGTTACTACTAGTTGATGAACATCGATGTTAAATGCAAAGCAGATAAGACTCATTCAACTTCACCAAGAGGAGACAGATGCTGGGAAGCACTAGGGAGATGACTGTTGATGTGGGAAATCCACGTGAATCTCAGCCGTCTCTCCTGAGCAGAGAGGGCGAGACAGTAAGAATCGGTGAAGGTGGGTTTCAGTTGAGGTTGCTTCTCATCCTCTCATAGCTTCATCTTCCTGTGGGTGCTCTACATCTAGCCTGTGATCAGGACCTGAGGCTCAGGACAGCACGGTTAGGATTACAGCCCCTCTCTGGCGTTTTAGAATGGCCACAGCTTGCTCATGAGTGACACCTTCTAGGGTCTCGCCATTAACAGCTAAAATTTGATCACCTCGCTTCAATCGGCCGTCATCTGCAGCTGCGCCCTACAAGTAAGAAACATTCCCGTTTAATCCCGGGCGAAGCAATTCAAATCATATTAATAATACGGTGTGCATATTAAAAGAGTAACTTTAAAAATCACCAATTAAAGTCATTTCTGGGTAGTGTTTTTAAATTAAGAAACTTAAGAAAAATGTGGGATATGTTATTCCATTAGTAACCTTAACTACGCATTGTTTAAATAACATTAGTAGAAATGTAACAACATTCATATTTCTTTCAATACAAATAGGACCTTATTTCAATATTAAGTGCTAAATGGAATTTGAATGTCCTTTTCATGAATATGTAATACACAAATGAAGGCAAAACTGAATGTGGCGTTAGTTTTATTATATGTATAGGGTTCCTACTGCGTTATTAACCTATCAGCATTGTGGTGATCTGTCAAAAATAAGTGTAAAACAAAAAGAAGTATAGCCTCTACATGGGTGAGTTGTATGGTATATGAATTATATCTCAACAAAGCTCTTCTATAAAAACATACACAAAAGTGTGGCATGTCTAAAATTTTGCAATATCATAATTAAAAGCTTCAACTTCACGAATCTTCGATCATCTACATCGGTTTCTAAACGACTGCGTTCTTTATGCACCCAGTCGTGCGTGGTTCCTCAAAATGGCACCAAGCAAGTAAAACTTGGGCTTTTTTCCATTCTAAAGCTGAGGATCCAAAAATGCCACGAGAGTCCCGGAAACATTTTGGGTGGGTAAGGAAGGAGAAGACCTAGGCTTTTCTCACCAGGTGGGGTAACTGAAAATCCTATGAGAAGTCAGTGCCCTAAGGGTCCTTAAATGATGCTGACCTACTGGGGAAGTTAAATCAGGCCCACAGGTGCTTAGAACCTGCCTGACTCATTCAGAAGCTGAGCGAAGAGGCACTAACGTTCCAGAAACCCATGTCCACTGGAGGTAGAGGTCCTGAGGTAGTGGGTGAATTTTCTAGAATTTCAAAAACTGTGAAAAGGGTAGAGTTCCTGAAAAAAGCTGTAATAAAGAATACTCAAAACCAGGCTTTTACTGGGGGCGGGTGTTGGGGGGGGGGGCAGATTCCAAAATTAAATAGCTTGCAACTTCAATAAAATATTTTTTTTTCTTTTTTCAGAAGTGTGTTAACTGTACTAAAATCAGGATTAAACAACTAACTAATGAATAAAATCGGAATTATTGGCTAACTGGACTTCATTACATTTTACACTCTGAGTATTAAAGGCTTCAGTAAACCTTAGCTATTTACATAATTCGTTTTTTTTAAAGGCATGTTAAGCTCTTCAAGTTTTCATTTTCAGAAAGGCAAAAAAGGATGACTTTCCAGCTTTCTAGGATTTGTACTATTTCAGATATTGCTATGCTTACGTGATAATTCCTCCTGACCTGCATCTCCTCTCCTACAGTGTCAAGGTGGCATTTGGGGATTAAGCAGAGAAGAAAGAAAGAAATGGCTCGCAGACAGACCTCCATCTGGTTCGGAAATGAGGCTTTTGCCCACTCGCTGTGTCCCAGCTGTAAACAGGCATCCACTAGCTACCTTTCACCTGTTCTAAGGATTAAACGTATGGCACACAATATTTACTCACTCCCGTGATGATCAAACTCCTCTAATATTTCACAGGCTCTGAAAAACTGCCCCCTAAATTTTCAGGGCTGTTGAAGCTGTTAGGTCCATGGTTTTGTTTTGTTTTGTTTGTTTGTTTTTGTTTTGCTTATGGTAAAATCTGGCTGCTGAAGGGACTAGGACCTAAAGTTGGCTTTGATTCTGAAGTTTCCAACCAAACATCTGAAAGACAATGGAAGGTCCGGACACCCTCTTAATCAGATTGACTTGGTCTTGCAAATTGCGTATACCCAAGTGCCTGTAATGCTTCATATTTCCAAAGTGGAAAGAGATCTTGATGGGCCAAATTAATTTCTTATTTGAGTAAGAAATATTAAATGAGGCTTAGGACACCAAAAAAGTCACATAAAAATCCACACCCAAGCCCTGGCCAGGTAGCTCAGTTGGTTAGAGCATCATCCTGATACACCAAGGTTGCGGGTTTGATCCCAGGTCAGCGCACATACAAGAAGCAACCAATGAATGAATACAAAAGTGATATTTTTCTCTCAATTAAAAAAAAAAGAAAAGCCCTGGCCAGTGTGCTAAATGGTTAGAGCGTTGTCCTCTGTATGGAAGGGTCAAGGGCTGGATTCCCTATTAGGCCACATATCCAAGTTTCAGGTTCTATCCACAGATGGGGTGTGTACAAGAGGCAACTGATCAGTGTTTCTGTCTCCCTCCCTCTTTCTCCCTCTCTCCCTCCCTCCCTCCCTCCCTCCCTCCCTCCCCCTTCCTCTCTGTCTCTAGAATCAATGAAAAACACACACAAAAAAACATATCTTCAGGTGAGGATATAAAAAACTCCACACCCTGTGGACATCTAAGATCCAGAAACCTAAAAAGACAAGCATTTTTGAGAATATATGTTTGGTATTAAAATACACAGAAAGCATATAGGTATAGTTTCTAGATATTAAAAATTAATATGGGGAAATGTTTAGCTTCGTGTCAGAATTTGTTTTAGAAAGACTTTACTATTTAAAAGAAAAATTCCTTTGCCAGTTTTTGGTTTATTGATTCTTTTCAGAACTTTTAAATTTGAATATATTGGCTCACTTTGACACATAAAAAAAAGAAAGAAAGAAAAAGTCATCAAATGAAATCTTATAGAAAACTCTATGGAAGAATCTTAACCATAATAACTTGCATTGGAATATTCTTTTATTGAGGCTGACTCAACTAAGTAGGCCATTAGCTAGGGTTTTAGAACCTTTTCTTTATTAGTTCAGAGCTTTTAACTTTCAGGTATGCCTCACTTTACAAAAAAGGTCCACTCCTTAAAAAACAAAACATACCAATGATATTCAGTATTTACTCTATGCTACGACTTACCTAAGTGCTTCCTAAATGAGCACTTTCAATGGGACCTTTAAAAAGAGCATTTTGTGTGAGCTACAGCCCATTCATTATTCCCGCTCCTCTGTGCCACAGTGAATTGAGTGTTGCTCCTTTTCAAAGCCCCACCAGCCGTGCCTGGTCATTTCACTCTCAGCTGTATGTTCTGGTGAGTGACCCGACAAAAGCTGCCTGGCTCCGGCCCCACCAGTCTATGTGCCCGTGTAGACAGGTGCGGCTGGTGCAGTCTGCTGACCCCTGGGCCTCGGGTCAAAAGCCCTTAGAAGGTAAGCAGTCCTCTCTCTGGACCGCAGCTGACCTCCCTACAGTTACGAAGTGAGTGGTGATGACAACATTCTGGAGGGGCCTTTCGGAGGCACAGGCACAACTTGCGAAAAGGCGAGGGCTCACCTTGCAGCCTTTCCTCTACCCGTACCTCCATCACTGACTCCCTTAAAGGCAAAGTATAATAATGCCCCAAAGGAATAATCATTGCAACTACCTAAGGTGGTGTCTGCAGGTGGCTCATCCACCTTGGGAAGGATCAGACCAAGGCAGCCCTGTTATCTAGAATGTTTCTAATTTGCCTTCCCCCTACCCTTTGGCCTGTCACCAAGTCAACAGATGTATGTTTAGGAATAACATGCCTTCTTAATAGGCACCTTAGCAAGATGGGAACAGGTGAGTACACGTGTAGCTGCCTAATGGGCCTCAGAAGCAAGTGCCAGATGACTTATGGATTAGGTCAGGTCATAGGCCCCATTAACAGGGGATAAGATATGCAGGAGAGAG